GCTTGATTTTTAATCTTTTCCTGTTAAATAAATAAATCAAATCAAATCAAATTTCCCATTTAGAAACTTTTATTACTTTACTGTTAATTTACTACTTTACTTTTACTACTTATGAACACTCTTAAGAAGCATGTCGTGACTCATAATTTTACTTTGTTCTACCTGATTTGATTTGAAGTCAGAATAAGATGTAACACAGTTTGAACACCTTTCTTTTGCGTCCTCACAGCTAAAAAATGAGCCAGCACCTTCATGAATGAACCAACTCAAAGCTCAGAGAGAGGGGTGCAAAATGTGGTGCTTATTTTTTTAAATAATTATCTTTTAGTGTTTCACAAAGACAGTAAAACTGGAATCAAAAACACTATGTTACAACCTAATTTTGTCCTACTGCTGCAGTGGTTACATGTTGCAACTGAATCAATGAATCTCAAACCTTTCAGTTTCTGACCTACAAGTTAACAGAGGCTAGTGACCCCAAATAATGCCTAAATTGTGCAAACATTGCTAATAAGCAAATTACATGAGAGAACATGAGCAGTCCCAACAATCATTAATATCATTTCCTTTTTGTTTAAAACAATTGGATTTTACAGGCAAAATAAACTGTACTTAATGTTACGTAAAAGAACATTATTCATTACCTTAATATTGAGCTTGTAGTCTCATTTGCTAGTTTTCTACCTATGTTGTCTTAGTACAGTGTTTACATATTTAATTCCATAAAGAGATGAGAAAGTAAAACAATAGGTTTTGCAGCAGGATGGGGCTTTGTTGACATGAAAGTGTAGGTGCTCAGACAGATGCATTTATAGTATAAAATTTAAAATGATTGGTTTTGGAAAAGAACAGCTTCAAAAATGTCTCAAAATGTTTGTCAACATGTACTGTATGTCATAACACTCTTTTTATATGTATAGTCATTTTTTTCAATGTTGAGGAAATAACAGCATTAAGTGAAGAAACGTCACCAGATTGATGTTAAACTGGTTTATTCCCGGTGGTTTTCGCTCTACCGTGTCTTTATTTTGCACTCAGTCAGACTTTTCACTTTAATTTGTCACCTGTCTGTCACAGTTTGTCCCTCCCTCACACTCGCTCAGGTACTGGAGTTAAAGAGCAGCGCAGAGGACAGGGCAGTTGGGGAAGGGGGAGGCGGAAGCATTCAGCTCTTTGTCAACCTAGCGCAAGCTTGTGAAC